GTGTCATAGAAATAAAAGTGTAGATACTATTAAAATTGTATTTGTAATTTGATAAGGGGTAGATTTATAAGTACAAACAATAACTTACTATTAAATCATGTATATAAAGATTCATGGTCCCTGAGAGATAGATCATCTCATATTTAATCTTATCACATCAAAGAGTTTATACTTAAGAGAATTTTATCTTCTTGGAAGATCACAACCATAAGCAATCTTCAAGATCTCAACCGTCTAGTTAATCTCCAACAATAGATCCAGGTACACTTCCACCAATCTAGTATTTATTTTATTCTTGATGATTTGACATGATTAAATACTATTTTGATTTTATGTTTAATTATGTTTTAGTTCTAAAAAGTGGTATCACAATCTCGTCATGTTGAGTCATTGAGGATAAATTGAGTTATTTTTAAGATTTTATGGATTTGATAATTTGGTACTATATTTCAATTTTATGATTATATTGATTTTTTAGGGTTTGTTTTGTTTTAATAAATCCTAACACTAAGATTTTGTATTGATACATGTAGTATCATATGATTGCTTTGATTTAAATCAAATAATCTTTTTGGTAATTGTTTCGTAAATCTCTAGCCTTAGGTCTCGAATTATTAAGGTTCAGTATTTCCATCATAGCAATTTTTGTTTACCGTGAATATAGATTCAAACATTTTATATCTTTAAATCTCCTTACTCTCTAAAAATATCAAAAAGTCAATTCACCCCCTCGACAAATATCTTAGGTTGTATAATGTATTGCGTGAAACATTTTATCCTTTTATTGCCCCAACACTGCTCCTATAGCGAAATTGTGAGCATCACACATTAATTCAAAGGGAAAACTCCAATCGAGTGTTGTAATAACAAGGGAATTCCCTAGCTTCAACTTAATTGTCTCAAAATATTGAAGCACTTCATCATCAACAATGAACTTCATGTTTTGCTCCAACAATGAGCACAATGGCTTAGCAATTCGAGAGGAATCTTCAATAAGCCTTATATAAAAACTAGCATGACTAAGAAAGCTTCGAACTGCCTTCACATTAGTAGGTGGCAACAATTTTTCAATAACTTCTACTTTTGTTTTATCCACTTCAATGCCACTGCTTGAATTTCGGTGTCCTAGCATTATGCCCTCTGTGCCATAAAACTACTTTTTTCCCAATTCAAAACTAATTTTTTCTCCTCACAGCTTCTCAAAACTGCAGCCAAATTGCTCAAACACTTGTCAAAGTCCTGCCCAAACACTTGCAAAGTCATGTCAAAAATTCACCAAATTTTTTAGAATTGAATTTTAAAGGTATGAGATTCTCTTACCAGTGTTATTTTACGATAGATAATGGAAAAAAAAATTCACCATAGTTGAAACTTCCTTCTTCTCACCCCTCTTTACACCGACGACGATGAAAAATCCAAAAACACCGACCTACACAAAGAAGTAATGATGCCTGTGGTGTAACTCACCGACAACTAATCGACGACGAAACGATGATACAAGCTTCTTGGGGGAGAGAGAGAAAGAGAGTAATGTTGGAGAGGAAAGAAACTAGGAGAGAGAAGAAAAATGGGTGCTTCAAACAAGTGGGAGAATTTTATCCACTTCACCTGAAAAATATATAATTACTCAATAAGCCCTCCAAAATTTTCTCATATATTTTAAATTTGATTCAATGTAAAAAATATTATAATTTAGTCCCATATTTAAAATACAAAAAAATTGACCTTTAAATTGAGGTGTGACAAAAACATATAAATGTTCATATTAATAATAATTTAATTTAAAAAAATTAATATAATAATTTTTAAAGTTGAACTCGAATTAAGTTCATTCGAATTAAATATTAACTAAATTTTAAACTAGTCAAACTTGAATAACTTATCATCCATCTCAACTCATTTACAACCTTTATATAACTCGAATTAAGTTCATTCGAATCAAGTATTAACTAAATTTTAAACTAGTCAACTTGAATAACTTATCAGCGATCTCAACTCATTTACAACCTTTATGTAACTCGAATTAAGTTCATTCAAATTAAGTATTAACTAAATTTTAAACTAGTCAAACTTGAATAACCTATCATCTATCTCAACTCATTTACAAAGCATCTTAGAGAGAGAGAGGGGGGAGAGAGGGAGAGAGGGAGAGAGAGAGTAATGTTGGAGAGGAAAGAAACTAGGAGAGAGAAGAAAAAAATGAGTGCTTCCAACAAGTGCGAGAGTTTTATCCACTTCACTTGAAAAATGCATAATTACTCAACAAGTCCTCCAAAATTTTCTCATATTTTAAATTTAATTCAATATAAAAAATATTATAATTTAATTCTATATTTAAAATACAAAAAATTTGACCCTTAAATTGAGGTGTGACAAAAACATATAAATGTTCATATTAATAATAGTTTAATTTAAAAATAAAAAATTAATATAATATTTTTTGAAGTTGAACTCGAATTAAGTTCATTCGAATTAAATATTATCTAAATTTTAAACTCGTCAAACTTGAATAACTTATCATCTATTTCAACTCATTTACAACCTTTATATAACTCGAATTAAGTTCATTTGAATTAAGTGTTAACTAAATTTTAAACTAATCAAACTTGAATAACCTATCATCTATCTCAACTCATTTACAACCTTCATATAATGTGAACACTTCTTTCCTTCAAATTCAACACCGTCCCTCACATTTGTTTGATGATGAAAAAAACAAGTCATAATTTATGAATACGAAGTTATTGAGAACATCAATTTTGATTTTTTAAAAAATATTGTAGCATTATTTCATAATTTTTAGATATTAACAAGAGCCAATTAAATTATGGTATTATGGGTAAAAAGTATACAAGAAAAATACTGTTGAAAGTTCTTTGAAAATATTTAATAATCATTTTTATTGATTTAAAAATATTTTAACTTTAAAAATGATAAACCCGTTTCAACAGGTGTTATTTTAATATTACATTTGAAAAATTTAAGAAATAAATTTTCATTTGAGCCACACCCATCTTTAATGATAAAATTTTGAAAGCCGAAACTCCTCCTTGATTAGATGGTGTTGTTCTTTTTAAAATTTTAAATTCGAACAGTTACATCTATAAAACATATACGTATTGTTAATAATTAATTTTTTTAAATAAACACTCTTTTATAATCATTTAAAACTAATAAAAATTATCTTGAAAGTTAAATAACCGTTGAAATTGTAGGGTTTTTAAAGCAACAAAGCCAACCTATAAAAAGGATAAATTGCACGTTTAATACTTAAATTATTATTTTTATTTTATTTAGTATTCAAATTTTATTTTATTTTTTAAAATTGTACCTAACGTTTAGTTTAAGTTTCATTTTGGTACTCGCCATTAAAACTTAACGGTGATGTTGACGTGTAACTATAAGATAATACTACAACTTCATTGAAAAATGTCACATCAACAATTCTGTTAGTTTTTTTATGGTGAGGTATCAAATTAAACTTAAATTAAATATTATGTATGATTTTAAGAAATAAAATTTAAGTATCAAAATAGAACAAAAATAATAATTTAGATACATGCAGTTTACCTAAAGGGCTGCTTCCATTGGGTACATTGTTACATTTTGTATGGCTTACTGGCAATCGAAGCCTATTGATTTGACCGAAACCTTAAAAAATTAAATTATTAAAGATAAATTTAATTGATGAAATATAAAAATATCTTTTAAAATATAATATTTAGAATGTAATTTTATGTTATATGTGTTGGGAATGTTATTTTTCCTTTTCATTTATTTGATATGATTGACATTATTAGGTATATGAAATATTTTTTTTTTTGAAAATAAAATTTATTAAATTATTCTAGTAATATATTTTTTTCTAGCAAGTTATATTATTTTCCACTTCCTTTTTTCCTTAAATTATTTAAAAATTCGTATAATAATTAACATTTTCTTATGATAATGCAAAAGTAACAACATGGAGCAAAGTTTGCTATTTATAGAAATTGATAAATGGACGATTAGTAAGGTATTTTGATATATTTGGAATTTTAAAAATACGGTAAACTGTTTGGTACTTAAATTATTACTTTTATTCTAGTTTAATATCTAATCTTTATTTTTCTAAATCATGCATAATATTTAATTTAAGTTTTTAATATCTGACGTTAAAAACTTAACAGTGATATTGATGTGTCACCATATAATAATATTATATCATCATTGAAAAAATAAAAAAAATATTACCTCAACAAATCTATTAATTTTTTAATATGTCCTAAACATGTAGCTTACCCTTCAAAATAAATGAAGTTAAAACGACAAACGAAATTGCCTTGCCCCTTTTCTTCCATCGAAACGAATTGAGAGAAAGAGAGATGATCATCTCTTTCATCTTCTGCAAAGTGTTGTACGTAATGGATAAATGCTTCAAATTTTAGTGAAAAAAAAATCATAAGTCCCCAAAATTCATAAGTGCATGTGTTATCCAAGTTAAGTTATAAAAGCTATAACTGAAATCTTAGGAAGTACTTCTTTATGGCAGCCTAATTTAAGGTTAAGGATCGATAGGAAATGGGTGCAACAAAAAATATTACAAAATCATAACATTTTTAATTGAGTGTAACCTATCGACAGAAAATGTTATGATATTTGTAATATTTTCAGTTGCACCCACTTCCTGTCATTCCTTAACCGCCTTAAATTAGATTGTCATCCCTTAGACATTCCCCTGAAATCCTATAATTTTGTGCCATCAATTTCAAGTTCTACGTTAAGGAAATTCCTATACCATAAATTGAAGTTGAAGTCCATGCATGTTTATCCTACCGCTTTGATTTTGATGTGTTGAAATGTCTTCTATGTATGCTCTTGAGTTTTGAACATTAAGATATTGTTGGAATCTTAAAAGGAGAAGGGGAAAGCCAAAGCTCTCGAGTAATCCGTTAAATCGAGGAATATCATAAGCTTAGATTAGGTAAATGTATGTCGAGATCAAGTTTGTTTTCTTATACATGAATGTAATCAAAATCGAGACTGATCTTACTGGCATTAGCTTGCTAATTTGTTCTTTATCAAGCCAGCAGCATGGCGAGCAACCCAGATTGAGCCAGCCTCACTACAACAAAAACCATGAGTGTGGCCCTCCCTTTCAATTGATAGACCAATGCCTGGGGCCTGCCTAGAGACCTGAGACCAAAAAGCAAATACCGAATGAACCGTTAGATGGACCCAGCAAAGTTCAGTACAAACGTAGAAACACCATAATTCACTATCCCAGCTTCCCCATTTATTTCCCTTTATCAGATACATCAGCCGCAAGATGTTTAAGCAACACCATGTTTTTTCAGGTTTCTCCAAGCACATATACCATAGTCTGCTTTCTGTTCTATCAGGAATTTTACAAGGCATATATAATCTTTGATAATGATTTCGATTCAGTGGCCAGAAGCCATAGCCATAGGAGACTCAAGAAAGAGAGTTGATTCTACCTCTTCAAACATTTGTAATGGACCCCAATGATCGTCAATGCCATACAAGAATGAAATTTTCTCCTGGTTTTCTCTCATAAAGTTCCAGTCTGGTGTTTCTGAAAGCTAACGGAATAGGATTAAAGTAAGCAATGACCCGAAGATTGTTGATATCAGTTTACAGTCCAATCTCAGTGATACGACCCTATATTTTCTGCAGGACGGATTATGGGGTAGATGCAATGGTCTTGAACCAAAAACAAAAGTAATGCCACAGAAATGAAGTGGGAAACACGAAAGCTGCAATCCTTTTTTTGAAGTTAAAAGTTCTTCAACACAATGATATGATGCAAGTCCAAGCAAGAAGTATCATGATTTATAACCTGAAAACTTATTCAAACTAAAGACAAATTATCGTTAGCACACTTCATCAAAGACTATTTTTTTTATTTTCAAGGCCACAAGAAAAATAGATATCTGAATGGGGTATTTAGGGAAATTTTGAAGGATCCACAAGAAAAATAAAGTGAAGGCATTCACAAGCAGGGAGGTTGCACAGATAAAACTGCAACAAAGGCACATGAACAAAAATATGACATGACTAAAGCATCCGAAAATCCAATGTGTCATCATTGTGTTGCTCTCACACAAGATAATAATGTTGTTTTAAGTTGTAACAATTTTTATAGAATTTTAGTCTCTTACAGAACCAATTTCCTGTTGTCAGCATAAGTATACCTTTATGAACTCTGTCCTGGCCATATATAGCACATTGCGTATGGTATGATACTGCAAATGAAAAATTATAGGAGAAAAATTAATGTATTTAATATTAAACATGCACTTGATTTGATATTAGTCATAAGAATATGCATACACACGTTATATAAAAGAATACAATTGTACAATTACAAAGACCACTAGAGCGATGAACAAAGGATGCAAATAGACCCGCAAAAGGAAGAACATAAATGTCATTTTAACGGGAGTTCACCTGTGGTAAGTGAGAGCAAGCAGCTTCATGGGCAGTATTAGACCATGACTTCCCATTAGAAAGTTCAGAAATTAGCCTCAAAACCCGTCTTGGTAACAAGCCCAACAACGCTACAAAAAGCGTGACTATAGTGGACAGTACTCTGGACCTGAAACTCAAACTGATTCTCTTGATCCTCCAAATGAATGATAGAATGTCAAAATTTTAATGCAAAATTAATGAACACAAGCTTCCAACAGAGGCAACTAAATATAATTCAATCCAACCATCCAAGAGAGAGAACAGTACCATACTATTTAGTACTAGCATAGCAGATATGGTTTTCTTATGGTTATAAAAAAATGAGGGAATAAATGGTATATGGGATTATGATTTTGCACAAGCTTTATAAATATTGTGCAGTTAAGGGATCATAAGGCACAGTGGGAAAGGAAATTTAAACATGCTATACAAAACGGTACCTGATGATGTGGCGCAGGTGCAACACATAGAAGTGTGAGGTCAGAATACTGGAAATTAGTATTCCGTGTAATAGTTAACTGAAATATTTACCCTGTAAACTATGTATAGTGGAAAGTAATGATATAGAAAATGCCTTACCTAGTCACTTTAACAATGACCACCTGTTTCTTTGATTGCAGATTTAAGGATAAAAACGGGTAGAGTCCAATGCAACATACTGCCTAACACACAATAGAAAGAATTTCAAGAAAACAATATTTTCAGTTAACACAAATAGGAACTGTGTTTTAAAAGGCGCGAGGCGCTCCAAGACAATTAGCTACCCGAGAGCCTCAATTTTTGAGGCGCTTTGAGGTGAGGGATTCACGTACGCGAGGCACTTAATTTTACAAAACATTTGTAAATATTTTATAACCATACCTCAAACACAAAACAACTTAATAATTAACTTAATAAGCAAAAACACCAAGTAGCATATGTCATATTGTATCTCAAAAAGACCTGTTGCTTTCTTTTTACAGGACAACTTTTAAATGTTCGCTCTCTTAAAGATGTTTTAGTTTGCTCACAACCCACTGCTTGAGATTTGAGTCTAAGATCAATAATGCAAGCATGAAATTTGATGTCTAGTGAACCTGCAAAGCTACCGTCAACAGCAATTTATTACTCTTAGAATCATTTGCAAGTTCCACACCATGGTCTTACTGAAATTTGCTTAAAGTCACCCAGAACATCAATTGAACCATCCTTAAGAAAGTTAAACTTAATCACGGGGCTTTTCACCATCATCAATCTATTCGTACGGATAATTGACAACTTGACGACAAGCTAAACACGCCCACTCCCACCTCTCGAGCATAATAATAAAGGATAAGTGGAGATAAAATGAGTAGTACAACTACAGCTAAAACACTCTAGAACTAAAATTCAACTTATATTGATGAATGAATGATTCACTTAAACAATCAGGAAAGAAACGACCATTACTAATCAATTATCCAAGACCTAAATCTTTTGAAGATTAAAGATGATTGGAATAAAAAAATAACAATAAAAAACATATTTGATCAAATTGGCAAATTAAAATAACTACTAAAATTTAACCAAATATGGAGACAGGTAAGGAAGTAATTAGAAAAAACCAGAAAATTCATAAAAAAGTGAGAAATGATATTTTATATGTAGACGTTTTTGCGGAGATACCTTTTCCAGAGATCGCGTTGCGATTTGGCGGGGATGGAACGCCAGAGGCGATCCATATCAGTGCATAGGGAGTGGATTTGAGAGATATCTTTTTTAACGGAGAAGGAGAGTTCAAGTGAGTCGGCACCGGAGACGGAGCTCTCGAACCTCTCCAACCGTTCGATCCCGTCCCTTGCTCGAAGAAGTATCCTTCTGGCACTCTGATAGACTTCCGATAACGTTCCTCCTCCTTCGTTCCCCGCCATGCTTCGATTCCAAACAAATCGTCGTCTTGATTTTCACTTATAGAAATGGTGATTGATTTGATTTTTGGTTTTGTTTTGCTATTATTTATTGAATTGCAGTTTCTGAATTTGTTTTGACAGTCCAAACAACGAAGAAAATATCCTTTTTGACTATCATTGTACGTGAATCGCTAAAAGCATCGCCTCGCCGCCTCCGACGACTGAATCGCCGCCTCATGTACTCGCCACCGCCTTGGTGGTCGGAGGCTTTCTTCTAAACACCTCTCCTCGCCTCGCCTAGCGCCTCAGGCGCGCTTTTTAAAACACAGAATAGGAAGAATTACGTGAATAAATTAGTTGAAAATAATCATGCCACCTTCTCCGGCAGTCTCCTTAGAATTTCTAGCGCTATATATGAACCGATAGAGTACCCTACCTTCATGGAAAATTAAACACCTGTCGTGAGTTTAATCTTAAAAATCTGAATCATCTGTCAGAATTTTGGAATATTTAATTTGACAGAACTTTGGTGCTTTTCCAAAAAAAAATTTCTTTTCCCTTATGAAAGTTGATGTCTCCTTCAACAGTAAAACAAATAAAAAGGAATTTATAGATAAAGATGTTGCAATTCATCAGATGTTAGATCGAGAACTTGTTGTTGATACAACCATGCTGCATAAATAGCTAAGCAGGCCTATGCTCCTCGTTTCATGGAAAAGGAAGACATTTCAAGAGGTAATATACTCGGAAGAAGAAACTATTTTCTTGGACAAGCAGGAAGGTAAAACAACAGAGGCAGAAATTAGTCTTACCAGAACTAAAGGGGCTTCGATATTTTGCATTTTCTGGAACTCAATCTGCAATGTAAAAAATTAAAGCAAAGTTATAACCTCGTATGATGAACTGGTAAGCTAAAATGGTTTAGATCATAATTCTAAACTAAAGATCATCATCAACTAGAAAGCTCCGAATAGGTAAAAAGGATAAACAATACAATCAAATTAACATTCAATAAGAAAAAAGAAGCACAGTCAACCGTCAAGAACAGTTAAGTTGATTTCAAGGGATTAAAACATAAAACTTGAGCTCTCAAGTTGACCCTTAATAAATTTAGTCTTTCAACTCAAGCATATTTCTTAAGAATTTTTAAATAGTTCCATAAACATGATAAATCAAAATGTATCATATTCATTAACAATCCAGGACATCAAAATCAATCATAGAGAATTTTTAAACAGTTCCACAAACATGATAAATCAAAATGTATCATGTTCATCCAGACATCGGGATCTCGAGCAAAGCCATAGGGATTATGAACAGTTTCATCAATGATATCTTTGAGAAACTGGCGCAGGAGGCTTCGAGATTGGCTAGGTATAACAAGAAGCCGACGATTACGTCGAGGGAGATCCAGACGGCGGTCAGATTGATTTTGCCTGGTGAATTGGCTAAACAAGCGGTCTCTGAAGGAACCAAAGCAGTTACCAAATTTACCAGTTCTTAGTATCTGCTGAAAGCCAAATAAATAATTAGAAGATTACCTTATGATCAATTTGTTCTTGCAAGAACAACCTCACATGATCCCAATTCTTCAACGGAGGTTAAAGAAGAAAGAAACAATTAGAAAACCATATAGAGATGCACATAGATTACAAAAATATCGCTGTAGGTACCATTTCTGTATGACCTGCAGCGCCAACAGCTGATCGAAACCATATGAAAGCAACTATTAAGTACAATATTAGGGCTAATGATTGAAACAAATGATAGTATCTTTCAGAAAAAAGGAAAAGGTTATCAATATTTTGCCTGATACAGATGCAGTTCCTCCGAGGAACTCGAACAATGATTCCACAAATTCCTTGTAAAAGGTAATAGCACCTGAGATGAACAGAAGCACTTGAGATCTAATTCTCATAATTCAACTAATACCAAAATAGTACCTCAGTGACATTAACAAACCAGTATTTCCAGGAAAGAACACAACATGTAGTGAGGGATGGTCAACACAAATTTCCAGTATCTCTGTCAGGCAACTGTCCAGTGAAAATGTCCAAGAAAAGATCAACAAAAAAGAGAATTGATATGTATCAGAGCATAAGCAGCTAATGCAGAGTTAGTGGACATAGCGAGTTGGTTCAGCTGTAACAAATTTAGTTTTTCAGTCTTCAGTCAATTTGCATGTTTGTTAGCATTTTCTCTATTTTCTATAGTGCAGTTGGTCAAAACATTTTTCAGTTAACTGAGTCAGCTAATTTTGTGTGTAAATAATGACTGATATTAATGATAGATGTTTTGTGTTAACATAAACAAAAATGGGTCATCACTATTCAGCAGCTCTGTAACGTTTCTTCTAGTTTTTCTAGTAATCATTTTCTCAAACACCTTCAGCTCATTTCATTCCTTGTTTCATTTTCAACTTTCTTCGTGATTTTTCTATAAATATGAACCTCTTATATAAGAACAGAATCTCTATAAACGCAACATACCCTGAGACATTGCACAACCGAAGATTCACACGTTTTGTAGCATATAAATCCAAATCCTCAAAATTCATTACTCTACCGGCGGAATTTGGGATTCTAGCAATTCTCCTAAAAGTTGAAGAGAGGTTACTGCAGAAAGAAAGAATGGGTTGGATTAAAAGCGCCTCATAGTGAAACACAGTCAAGAAATGGGATGTGCTCATTTTTTCTATGACATTGTTTGTAAGTGCTTGAAAGCTGATAATAAACAAGTCTACAGCCACATGCATGAACAGCCTAATAAAGTTAATGCATACAACAAACAACACTTGGGGGGGGGGGTGACAAAAAAATATTAGTCTATCATCATCAAATGAACAATTCGCATGTACCTGTTACTATAACTGAAGGAGCGAATAAATGAAAGGGGTCTCTCTGTTAGAGAAGCTATGCGAGCTAGCATTTCTGATACTACTTTCACACAACTTTTTTTTTTTGGAGGGTAGATTTTTAGTACGGCACTTTCTCTCGGTTACTACTGTAAATCTATAAGAAAAACGAAAAACAAATGATTGTTTATCTCAAGGGGATTGTGGTTGGGCTGGAAACCTGAAACATGGAATCAAGTGAGCTCCTTTAGAAGTACCCAATAGGCAATGGGCCTGGAAGAGTAGTGAGAATAAGATTGTAAATGAAACGAGACAGATCACGAACTACTCGAGATTAATTAATTCAAAGCTCGATAAATACACGAGTCGAATAGACTTGACTCGAGCTCGACTCGAGTTCTTAACAAGCTGAAATGAGCTACTTAATACTCAACTCGAAAAGCTCGTGAGCCGCTAAAAAATATAATATAAATTTTAATAATTTAACATTTATGTGTTAGATTTTCATGAATTTAAGGTTCAGGTTCGAGTTTGAGCTTGAGGCTTCAATAAAGTTAAGTTTAAGATTTTTTTTTCATTTCGAGCTTTTACGAGCTTCGGTTCATGATTTTGATTTCGAGTCAAGCTTGAAAATTTTAGGCTCGTGAATTTTAGAATGAATTCGAGCTTCATTTCAGAGTTTTTAAGTCGAGTCTCAGCAATACTCGAACTCGACTCGTTTATAGCCCTAACTTAGACAATTATAAATTGAGTAACAATAGAAGGACTCAAACGATCTCAATGATTAAAATAATATATTTTGAGCACGATGACTGTAGAAGCGTTGAGCGTTCATCGTGCTAAGCAGCTTTTCATTCTTCAACTATAGTGCATACAAAACCATTTGAGCTTATTGAAATGGATTTGTGGGAACCTGCCGCGTTGCATTTTATTGGATTCCATTACTATTTGAATCATTGACATGCTTAGAACTGTGGCGCTTATTTACTTGAAAGTAATTCCGACATTTTTGTAGCCTCTTAAATGTTCACTGAACTGGTTGCAAATCAATTTAATGCAAATATTGTCTGTTCATACTAGTGATGAAGGTGAGTTTCATCCGCTTGAAGCATTATTTCATAAGAATGATGTGCAACACAGAATGACTTGTCCTCGGACCATCAACCTCCAGTAGAATGGGGTTGTGGAAAGAAACATATGCATTTGGTGGATATTGCATTGACATTGCTTTAACAAGCCTAACAGCCTCTTCAATATTGTTTATATGCCATCTTGAGTGCAATTTTTCTAATCAATAGGCTACCATATCAGAAGCTATATATATATATATATATATATATGGCTATGTTTCTGATTATCAATTTTTGAGGGTATTTGGGTACGTGCGTTTCTCCATTTCAACGGACCTGTATGTGTTCTTGGGTTATTCGTCAAAACACAAAAGATATCAATATCTTAACAAACGAGGCATAGTTTTCATCTCAAGGCATGTTAAATTCAATAGATCAAGATTTTCCTTTACTGATCAAGCAAAAAATCCTTAGTTAAGCATTTTACCTATCAGTCTCTGTTATTTCCTCGTGCGCTTCATGACCAGCAACGCTATGCAACAACAACCAACAATAGGGGTGAGACATCTATTGTACTAAAAATAATAATAGATAATGCAAATGTACAACATTCTGCAGCAGTAGCTAATAATAGAGATGAGACATCTACTGTACCAGCAGCAATAGATAATAAAGATGAGACAACTACTATACCACATTGTGTAACAGAAACACCAAACAACAATGAGACAGCTAGTGTAGTAGACTTCTCATCTAGTGAGGAAGAGACATTCACCTCGCTAGTCCCTGGTCTTAAGACAGCAGAAGCATTACCATGTGCGACAACCACTTCAATCCCATTGATAATCACTTGCGATGAAGAAGTGATTAATCGGCACCCCATGGTCACTAAAAACCCAAATTATTTCAGATTCAATATGTTCCAAAACTTGTTGATGTGAATGAAACCCTCCAACATTTAGAATAAAGGAAAGCAATGTATGTTGAGTACGATGCATTGCAAAATAATCAAACATATGAGCAAGATGATCTGCCGACGAAAAGAAAAGTCATCAGTTACAAATGGCTCTTTATGGTCAAGCAGAATGCTATTGTTTCGGTTAATCGATTCAAAGCACAGCCTATTGCTAAGGTATTTTCTCAGATTCAGGTTATAAATTTAGGGTCCGTTTATTTTACTGAATTTTTTTTCGGAAAATGCAATCTGAAAAATGAATTACATTTCTTGGAAAACATTTCGAGAAAATATTTTACAGTGTTTGGATGGTACATTGTAAAATGTTTTACACTGTTTAGTTAATTTTTCTGAAAACAATTTTCAGAATCTGTTTTTAATATAAAAAAACATACATATTCCATATGTTTTTATTCTTCATCTTTTAGTTTTATTAAAGGTTCATTTTATTTTTTATATAATTATATTTTATAAAAATTTGTATTTTTATAAGTACATTAAACTAAATATTTACATAATATTAATAATTTATGTTGATTGTGCTATAAATACACTATTTTAGGTTTCAAATCTTCATAATGCTTATTCTTTCGTATTTTTAGAAATGAATTTCAACGTATAATTAATATTATGTAGGTTTATTTGATATAATTTAATTTATTAAAAATATTATAAAAGGCATGGTATAGTGGTCCATTCCTAATGCAGGAAAAACAACATAACCGTGTCATGTTATGGTGGAATATAAACATTGCGCAACAACAATAAATATAGGTAAATCAAGGAATATACCACAGTCATATAAGTGAATAAGAAAAAGCGATGATCATTTAAACACATTTTGAACTGAGTTAGAGAATAAGATGTATATGTAGATTTGTTTTGTTCTGATACAGGACATAGCGCACAACAAAGACCTAGTCTCATTCTGTTCTGATCATATAAATATATAAAACAGCAGCAATGACCTGAACAAATGGCATATCGGCAAACATTGATTTGTAAATATAGCAACTGCTATGCCCCCAAAAAGCAATTCATGCAAACCTCGCATTCTAGTCAATACTAGTTCAGTTAAAAGAGGAACTAAGAGACAAACCGCAAATTTATAAACTATTCCACAAAACTTAGGTCAGTCAGCTAAAAGACAAGCATAAATGTGGCTCGGATTATATGACACGACCAGTGTCATCCTTTACAATTGATGCTTATAGCATTGAAAACCATGAGTAAGCAGATGGGCTTGGACCCAATCACAGGCCTGAACATGAAATTTGAACAAAACACTGAATACAGGATAAGATGTGGCTGGAATTTTAACAAAAAATTGAATACAAGATCAAGTAATCTTAAGTAAACAGATTTGTTCTTAGATGACTAACACAAAACAATAAAAGATAACAGAAAACCTTATAATCATACTTCATAAAAGATAAGATGGCTGGAATTCGCCATTCAAATCCAATAAACTGAAGGACCACATGAAGCTCAAAACAATCACTTGTATAATCATACTTCATAAAAGAGATAAGATATGGCTGGAATTTCGCCATTCAAATCCAATAAACTGAAGGACCACAGATGAAGCTCAAAACAATCACTTGACCACTTCTAATATATCTCATTCAAAAAAAAAACAGATTGGAAGGGAGGGAAAAGGACCAAATTCTTCCTTTTAACGCATATGCGGAAACATTTCTCTTTCTGCAAGATAGTCAACTATCACTGATCATTGCTATGACCAAATGCTCTCTATTACCTCACTTCAACATTGTTTAACCCTCCCTCTTTGATTACTAAGTTCATGGTGGTAAAAGGCAAGGTTAAGAGGTTGAGGGTTTGCAGTAGATGGTGAAAGGAGTTAGAACAAGCTGGAGGGAGTTTCTAACCAATCTATGCCCTGCCCAAACTCCGAAAATATATACACAAATAAGATCCAAAACTGTTGGCCATAACAATCTCCAACAAAACAGTGCATATCATCAACAATGCCGCTCATCAAAAATGCAGAACGCATTTAAGACTATAGTATTTACATGTTCTAAGGGATTAGATATCCTCCTTTTTGATAAAATTCATGTACCCCATGTCACAATGCAATAAGAAAATCGAAAGCACTACTATGAAAAATGTTAAAATATTTTAGGCTTAACCCTTATGCTTGATTTACATGAAAAAAAAGGTACACATGGCCAACCCTTGGAATGTACGGCATCTAGGCTCCAAATCAGTACATGCTTGGAACATATAAAAAGAGCCTAATTACACCAACACATACTTCCTAAGATTTAGAAGCTAAGATAAAAACAAAACATACAGAGATACAAATAGACATACACACAACAATACAACTCAATTCAACCTGTAACTGGTTTAGTAAGAACACTACCCTAAACCATGATCAATGCAAGAAGCACCTCACAGATAGCAAGGATTTCCGATGGTGTTCAACAATCAGTATTGTCGTAACCGGTTTTCGTCCGGGTACGAAATATTTATTTGGCGGGAAAATTGATGTGAATAAATGGTTTTTGAAAATAATTTGGGAGTCGCCATCGGCCTTTTGGGTCAGGTAGGTCGATACCTAAAAATTATTTTTTAAAAGAGTTTTAAGAAAACATCAATTAAAAAATGAACTGATCTGCGTTTATAACCAAAAATTCGTTCTTTTTAATAATAAAAAGGGATTCGTGGTCGGTTACGTTTAGGGAAGGATTAGCACCCCTACAACGCTCAAAATTGGTACTTTTTAATTATAAATTGTCTCTATTATTACAAATTTAAAAATTCAAAATATATTTAATTTATAATCCTATTATTTCAAAATTATATAAAAAATATTTAAAAATATCGGAAAAGGACTTCTAGGGGCCTTAAGACAGCTCTTTTCTTGATATTAATGAATATAATTTGAATAAAATTAAATAATAATTTTTTATAATATTTAATTTTAAAATATCAGAATAGGACATCCAATTGTATTAAGACCCTTTTCTTCGATATGACAAATAATGTTAAAATAATTTAAACAATATAAATTATTATTTATTATATATATATTTATGACTACATAATAATAATAAA